AGAAATCTCAGTAACAGCTAGTCTCTTCCGAGGTGGTATTCTGGCTTCTACAGTGGAGCTCAGGAGATTGTCCAGGTGTTCAGAATTCTTTGCGCAGTCACATGGAACAGGATCAACTGCTAATGTACAGAAATCCACACTGCCTCCTGGAATGAAGTAAATGTCTCTCTGCTTACAACTAGCTCAAGTTTATTCCTTTTGTTTTATTGGTATGCAATGACATAGTCACAGAGTTCAAATATTGGAACATATAAAAATTATTTAGTGAGAAGTTGCCCTCTGTCCTGTAATGATGATCTATCCACTTCCCACCCTCATCTGTTGCTGTCATCCTTTATTACAAGGTTCTGTGTATCCTTTTAGGGTTTCTGTATGTATTTATGATTTTACAATTTGACTCCTCCTTCCATTCGGATTTCTTTAGTCTGATATGCTTTTCACATCCTTCTGTAAATTATTTCCCAATGACTTTATTTTATTTGAGATATGTATTGGGTTTTCGTTTGAGCCAATAAACACATCCCATTTTTTAAAAAAGTGCATCTTTAAACCTTTTTAAATTATTGATTTCCATTTTATTTGGAAGGCAGAGAATATGAGAGAGAGAGAGAGAAAGAGAGAGAGAGAGAGAGAGATTGAGGCAGGAATCTTCCATTTGCTGGATCACTCCACAAATGCCCATGACAGCTAGAGCTGGGCCATGCTGAAACCCAGAATTAGGAACTCAGTACCTGTTTCCCAGGTGGAGGCAGGGACCTAAGTTCTTGGGCCATATTGCTGCTAACTCACAAAGTGTGCATAACCTGGAAGTTGGGTCAGAAGCCGAAGAGCCAGGACTGGAACCAGCACTGCTATGGGATGCAGGCATCCCAAACAGTAACTTAAAGTGTGCACCAAATGCCTGACCCCAAACATCCCTTTTTTAGCATTGGGAAATTGAATATATTCATATGTTTGACATTTGTTTTTGCATTTCTAAGACTCTTTTATGTTACTTATTGTTTATATTTTTTCAGTTTTCACTGCATCTTAAGTTTTTTTTTTTAATTTGGAGGGAAGAATATGCATGTTTATTCTAGTTATTAACTTTATAATTATAGGTTCATATACTTTCCCTAGTTCTTTCTCTAAGTTAGGGATCATTACAGGCCCAGCAATGTGGTGCAGCAGGTTAAGTCACCATTTTATGCACCTTGGATGGAAGCAGACAATATTCAAGTACTTGATCCCCTGCACTTGGGAGACATGGATGTAATTCCTAACTCCTGGCTTCTTCCTGTACTAGCCCTGGCTGTGCTGACCATTTGTGTAGTGAATCAGCAGATGAGATATGTCTCTCTCCCTTTCTATTTGTAACTCTACTTTCAGATATAAAGTAAATCTTAAAAAAGAGACAAGGACTATTAGATCATGCTGAGTGATGATAGAATGAGCATATTTCCTTATTTTGCTTTCTGTCTTCTACAGATAATTTTATTCAACAATAGAATCTTCCTTTCTGCCTACTTTTATTTTGTTGAGTTTGCTATTACTTGACTTGTCGGCTGTAAGTGATAGTCTTTGTCCCTGATTTATCATGAATGTGGCTTCTTTCTCCCTTACCTTAACAGTTTTTGTTAATTGTTTCATTTCTAAATCGTTGGACATGTGATGTTCACTTTTAGTAATTTCCCCAAAAAGAATTCTTGGGAACAATACTCCCTTAATTCCCTGCATGTTGAAACTATTTATAGTTTGGAAATTTGAGAGACAGTTTGGAGTTTTATGTGTTTATATATACGTATCTGTATATATGAGTATATATATGTGTGTGTGTGTTTGTGTGTGTGTATATATATACATAATTCTTAGCTCACACATTCTTTCCATGATTATCTTATAGGTTTTGTGCTACTGGATTTTGGTATTGATCATTCCTATGAAACCTTCTACTGCAAGATAGATATTTTTCTCCTTTTAAGTGACTTGTTCATTTTGTCTGGCTGCCAAAGGATTCTCTATCTTTCAAGACTAATCACTTCACCAGAATGTGACTTGGTTTCGAGTATGAATGAATTATTTCTGGCACACAATGTGTCCTTTGAGTATAAAAATCAAGCTGTATTTTATTTGAGAAAAATTATATGAAATGATGTTTTAAATTGTTATAATTTGGTTGTTTTCTTTCTTTCTTTCAACCTCCCTTCTTTCCTTTCCTCTCTCATCCCCCGTGCCCTTTCTTTCTCCCAAAGTTTTTTCTTTGAAAGGCAGAGAGAGAGAGAGAGAGAGAGAGAGAGAGAGAAATGATAGATAATATCTTTGATCCATTAATCTTCTCCCCAGCTGGCTGCAATTGCCAGGGCTGGGCCAGGTAGAAGCCAGGAACCTGGACCTTGATTTCGGTCCTCTTCCGCTGCCTTCCCAGTCACATTAATAAGCACGCAAACTGGCATTTTGAAATGGATTTCTGGAAACATAAGCAATGGCTTAACCCTCTGTGTCATAACAATGGCCCCTAGTTTTCTTTCTTAAGGATTCCTCCAATTATGTTTGTGGATCCACTTTTTGCCTGTCTCAAATATCTATCACTTTTCTCTGTAACTCATTCTGCTTTTAGCGTTCTGTTTTATTTGTATTTCTCATTTCTATACTTGATATTTCTCACAAGATAGTCTCCCTCTTGACATTTTTCCTGTTTTGCCAGCTCACATACTATCACTGCCCCTGTGTGATCTCTTTTCTGAGTTCTCTCACTTCTGCAATCTTCCTTTGTAGAAGTGATTGCTTGTTTAAAGTTTTAAGTTGAATTTGTGTCAGGATGCTGGTAACAGTATTTACCCGTACAAAAACTACATTTTTCTGCTGGTTGCCCGTGCATTAATTATTATTACTGCTCTTTTGCCATTTGATTTGCTTTAGGTTTTACCTTATAATACCGTTGTGTCCACACTATGCTAGTTTTTACAGTTCTTTTATTTAATTAATTAACTTTAATGTATTGTATTTTCTAACACTTGAAATATGCAGAAGGTCCTAGAGTGAGAGTTTGGGATGTGGGATCTAGGTGCCTCCAAGCCATGGGGAAAGACTAATTTTAGCAAAAAAAAAAAAAAAAAAAAAGACTTCTATGTTAAACTTTAGATAGCCTCATCTGTTTCTCCAAACCAAACAAGGAGAAGCCTCTAAGCTTCTAGGTCCAGGTGTGTTGCGCTCCCTTGACATGTGTGGATACTGAGGGATGTTATATGATCCTGCAAGGTAAGCCGCTCTCCATCAGTGAGCAACTTTCGCCAACTTTTTGGAGATCTCCTGCTGGCACTCTCACAGTCTGCATACTGGAAACTTTGTCTCAGTTGCTTGGTGCCCCCGTCTTCATCCCCTGTCTTCATATTCTTTGGGCTGCAGATTACATGCTTTTTTGAAAAAAGTAACATTTGTTTGTAAAGTTATTTCCCCTCATTTCCAGGTTGTTCTTGCACCATTTCAAGAAAGAGAAGGTGAAAAATACTGATTTATACAATAATGTTTGTATTGGAAGTGGAGAGCTTTCTAAAAATTGCTTTTTAGGGGCCAGCGCTGTGGCGCAGTGGGTTAAAGTCCTGGCCTGAGGCGCCGGCATCCCATATGGGCGCCGGTTCTAGTCCCGGCTGCTCCTCTTCTGTTCCAGCTCTCTGCTATGGCCTCGGAAAGCAGAAGATGGCCCAAGTCCTAGGGTCCCTGCACCCACGTGGAAGAGCCGGAGGAGACTCCTGGCTCCTGGATTCCGGTTGGCTCAGCTCCGGCCATTGCAGCCATGTGGGGAGTGAACCATCAGACGGAAGACCTCTTTCTCTCTCTGTGCCTCTCCTCTCTCTGTGTAACTCTGACTTTCAAATAAAATAAATCTTTAAAAAATGCTTTTTAACCCAAAATAGATAAACTAGAAAGTTGTTCACTGTTTCTTTTTATTTTCTCAAATTCATTGGCTGTGCATTTAAAGTGTTCCTCATGGCAGCTCCAACTTCATTCCATTTTATTCTTCCTCATAACATTTACATTTTTGTTAAATGGTACTGAATTGTGCAGAGTTACCTCAAAAGCAGCTTTTTTCTCAATGCTTTTATTCTCTTGTTCTCTCTAACTGATGTTTCCTTGTCTCCGTACCTTTCTTTCCATCCTTCTGTGTTTGTCATTATCTTTAAAATATCATCTAGACTTCAAGATCTACCTCAAATAGTACTTAGTTTGAAAAGCCTTTCTCCTTCCCTCTATTATTGCCATAATCTCTTCATATGTTTATGCATACTTTTTGTAGCCTGTATTCTCTTAGAACTGCATTCTATTGTGCATGATGGTTTCACTATTTGTATACTGCTTCTACTTTCTACCACTTGGAAGAAAGCCTGTAACTTAGTCATATTTGTGCTCCAATTATGTCTGAGCACAGAACATTGTGCAATATATACATTCAATAAGTATTCATTGAAAGGATGAAATTACACAAAATCCCCAAATTATTTTTTTGAAAGCATGGCACAATTTCCTCCGAGTTCTGACTGCTGCACAATATAAGTACTCATGGGGGTAATTTGGCTCTGTTTGTTTCTAAAGCCACAGATTCCAGGAGATCAAAGTATTTTATAAGGATGTGACTGCAGATGTACGTGTTTAGTCATGCAGATAGTCAAACTGTGTTTTGATTATTTTAATTGTCTTATTTCAATACAGAATAATTTGTTCTTGGGTTTTTATGTGTCCTTGATAGCTGTTAAGTAGATTAGAAAACAAAAATGGAAAATGCAATCTTCTTTCAACTTCTGTCCTTCAATGGTGGATCTCTGTCATGATATAAATGCATTGATAGAACAAACTCAGTTAAAATTTAGCTTTTAAATAAAAGCAAATTAAAAGAAATAGCAGAAACTTAGAACATTTCCACTTTTTTTTGAGAACATAAAACTTAAGGATTTTCTCCACACTATTTCATTTCTCTGGGTCTCTGACCAGATATAATTTACTTGTCATTTTCTTCATTTTTGTAGCTTTGAAAGCTGTATTTGATGAGAAAAACCTGTTCCCCAAAGGCATCCTGGATCGTGAAAGAAGAGCCAAGCAATTATGTCAGGAAACAAGTTGTGAAATGAAGATAAAAAAGAAATAAGAGGCAATTTTAATTGAAAAAATTCATTGTTATATAATGTACATTTATAAATACAGGAAAAATCTAGAATTTTGTCCTTTTTATTTGTATTTGAGCTTCTCAAGTTTCAAATTCAGATGATGCTTTGGTCCTGCCTTTATCTATCTCTTCCACTTTCCCTGTATTATTAATGAAAGAAAAATTGGACGAAAGAAGACAGAAAAGCAAGAAGCATTTTCTAGTATCAGGTGTTTTTATGAAATAATTATAATTCCACAACAAATTATTCAAGTCAGTTGTCTTTCTGATTGTTTCCGTAGAAAAATATTTTTGGTCATTTTTCATTGTAAAACTTGCATTGAAATATATTAAAAGAGTACTGTGAGTGTCTACACATTGGAATATCTATTTTTGCTTCTTTACACTTGATAGTTATTTTAAAAAATGATTCTGAAAATAATATTTAGACCTTGTCAATAGCAGCTTCTCCTGTTACTTCTTGTTGACTCATATCCATTTTTTCTAGGTACAAGGGAACTTCAACAAGTGCATGGACAATGCATGTTATGAAAAACTGGGTATAGACTGCAATAAAGACTTTGCATCACAATAAACTTACCTTTTAATCCAAATTTCAATGAGTTTTTAAAATCTCATTCATATTCATTGGGAAATTACTACTTATGTTCCACTTCTAGACTTTGTTATTCCATACTTTAATATTGAGTGGTACAATACAAGCAAAGAGATAATAACTTTGAAGGAAACTCAGCACTCATTTGTAGAAGGTCAAATAGGAAATGCTTGGTTGTGAAACTTATTGCCTCCTTTTGGACCTATTTTTCTTTAAACGTATCACCCTACTCCAGGCAACTAATACTTTATTCTGCTTTTTTTGTGTGTCCTGTAGAATGAAGCAAAATTGATTTATACAATTTTTTGCTATATATTTATATTTCAAAGAGTCCTTTCAAAAAATTTGTGTTTATTTTATTATTTGAGAGGCAGAGAGACAAAGAGAGAGTGTGAGAAACAGAAGGAGAGAGTGAGCAAGAGGGCAAGCTCATCCTTTGGTTCACTCCCCAAATTCCCATAATGGTTGGGACTGGTTTGGGAGCTGGAAATTCAATATAAGCTTCCCACATCAGTGGCAGGAACCCATTGACTTGGGTTGTAACAGCTGGCTCCTAGAGTCAGAATTAGCAGGAAGCTGGAATCAGGAGCTTGCGCTGAGGACCAATCCCAGGTATTCTGATTTGGGTTGCAGGCTTCCTAACTGGCACTTAACGGCTAAGTTATACACACTCCTCCCAGATATTTGTATTTTAAGAAGAATTTCTGTAATTTTGTAACACATGCTATTACAATTATGTAATTGACATTGTGAAAAATGTGCAATATGAAAAGACAGTGTATGGATTTAAAAAATTTTAAAATCAATATTAATTTATCTTTTAATTTATCATGGGGCATGGGGCATAAACAGCAACTGCAAAAGTTTATCATGTTTAAATTTCACTCTCTCTATATATATTTGCTTATTTTAAGGTTGGATACATTAAGGGAGTGTCCAATTATAAATGGCGAAGTTGAGATCGGAGCCCAGTTATATTTTATTGTGAAGACCATGTATTTGACCTTCATCATTCTGTTCACTTCTTTTTTTTAAAAGATTTTTATTTATTTATTTGAAAGGCAGAGTTACAGAGAGGCAGAGACAGAGGGAGGGAGGGAGAGAGAGAGAGAGAAAGAGAGAGAGAGAGAGAGAGAGAGAGAGCGCACGCTTCCATTCTCTTTTTTACTCCCCAGATGACCACAATGTCCAGAGCTCAGCCAATCTGAAGCCAGGAGCCAGGAGCCTCCTCCCAGTCTCTAATGTGGGTGCAGGGGCCCAAGGACTTGGACCATCTTCTACTGCTTTCCTAGCCCATAGCAGAGAGCTGGATTAGAAGTGGAGCAGCTGAGACTCAAACCAGTGCCCATTTGGGAATGCCTGCACCGCAGGCAGTGGCTTTACTCACTACGCCACAGTGCTGGCTCTGCCCCTAAAGTAAATTATTTTTTAAAATTGTGAAACATTGCCTTGGGAGAAAGAATTCCTTCAAATGTTCAAATAGAAACCGAGTAACTCTCCCACAGGGATATTTTAGGAAGTATTGCACTGGATGGGGTGTTTGAATGGATAATCCATCATTTCAAACTCAGAGCATATGATTTATGAATAATAGGTTGGTGATATTGCAATGGAGTGGAATTAAAGCCATATTTCTAGAAATTTAAAGGATAATTAAGATGTTAAGTAAACGTGAACTGAGTACTAAGTACCAAATACTTTGCAAAGGCTCTTTCCTCATCCATGCATCTTCTCAGTATCCAGTTACTGAAGGCATACGCAAGGAATTGTTTTAGACACCAGGTATTCACATATAAATGGGATGTACTTATCTTGCCAGAAGCTTTCTAGCATGAAACCACATAAATTTTAGTGGCCTATTAAGCAAAGATTGAATGAGCCAACTACATTTTTGGGGGGTATAATTTGGAAATTTTTTAACTGGATATATTTTGCTTTTTACCCTGGAGATGACTTTATTTGAAGTGATTAGTCTGAAATAGTCTGCCTCATATAGACAGAACTTTTTTCTACAACCTACTAAATGTACAAGGCACTATGCCTGTGTAACTCTAATTTCATCTTTAATTAACTTCAGGGCCTCTCCTGTGAAAGAAATTAAGAGGTGCTGTCTCACAAGTATATTTAACTAGAATAGAGCTTTTAAAAGCATGAGAGTCTCTTTTAATGTTCCTAATAATTTGAAATGAAAATCACAAAAAAAGGAGAAAAAGGGATATTAGTAATCATGTCTTACTCTTCTTCTGTGCTTCATGGCATCTAATTGTGCTAAGTAGGTAGCAGGATCTAGACCATCAACCGTTAACAGAACTAAAGACATTACAAACTGTTTCTCAAATTCAAATTTTGATTCAATTATTTATAATCCATTTTTCTACAGTGAAATGATCTTGACACATTAAAATAGGATGTGTCATAAATTTCAGTACTTGTTTGTGGTATGTAGATCTACACTAAATATAATTTAACCATTTCTCTTTTCAGAATATTTTCCTTTTATCACTCAAAATATTCATATATAGAGCAAACTGACAGTGAAAAATAATCTGAAATTAATCTATGCTCAAATAAAGGAACTAAATATTAAGTTTTTAATTAATGAATGCATTGCTTTTATGATTTTTGGAATTTTGGAATTAATTAATTAATTTTTGGAATTAATTTGGAATTAAGTACATTCTCACTTAAATAACAGCAAACTTCTAAGAAAAGTGATGAAATTATAACTGCATCCTCATGCTATTATTAGTTTTGTATATAAATTCCTGGGTGTATTCTTTAAAGTGAGGATAGCGATGTTGCTTATATTTATACCAATATATTGACTAACATTAATGAAGGATTTTTTTTCTGATTCTCCACGGGCAAAATAGAATTGAAGAAGAAACATATTTCTGAAAATGTTTAAAAGGTTTGCAGTAATATTTTATGGATAGTTGTATCTCTATTGTCTGTTACAAGAGCTTAAACCAGGCAGGAGAAATCCATGGCTATTGCTCTTTACTCTCCAAGATGCAGGAAAATGAACATTGTGCTTGATCTGCTCTAATATAAGGTCCTTAAAGAACAACTTCATTAAACGATCTTAATAAGACAGAGTGGCTGTCTCTGCTATTGGAAGGAAAGTAATGACTTGTTCCTGGATAAATCAAATTATGGTCTGAGTAATGTACAGACATAATAATTTGGTAGCCAAGATACTGGTGATGAATGTTTGCTGGTTCACTATATGAGTAGAAAAGTATTACTGAAAGTTCTGGACACTCAGATTTATTATTAACTTATCACAAAGTAGATAAAATAGGATGATAGTATTCTTGGGATGTATTGACAATGGATTTTAGCAAGTTATCTCTAAAAGTGTTAACTTAGAATAGAATTTAATTATGTTAGAAGATGTAATATTAAAATAAAATCCAAGATTTAGAAAACATTTGAGGATGCTTGCATGATCAATTAAGAATTTTAGTTAATTAGGAGATTAATGTCTATAATGATCTCCAGTCTTTCCAGTCCTGTTGTTCAGTTATAGGCCTCTTGGGACATGAAAGTATATTTTAAAAAGTTTCAAAAAATGAATTCCTTTTATGAAGAGGCAACTGACAGAATGGGAGAAAATATTTCCAAACTGTGCAACTGACAAAGGATCAATATCCAGAATCTATAGAAAGCTCAAGAGACTCAACAACAACAAAACAAATAATCCAGGTAAGAAATGAGTAAAGGACTTGACTAGGCATTTTTCAAAAGAGGAAATTCAAATGGCCAACAGACATAAAAAATGCTCAGGATCACTAGCTATCAGGGAAATGCAACCCAGAACCACAAGGAATTTTCACCTCACCCCTGTTAGAATGGCTGTCATGCAGAAAACAAAAAAAAAAAAACAATAAATACTGGTGAGGATGGGAGGAAAAACGTTCCCTAATCAAGTACTGATGGGAATGTAAACTGGTGTAGACATTGTGGAAGACAGAATGGAAATTCTTCAGAAATCTGAAAACAGATCTACCATGTGACACAGCCACCTCACTCTTAGGAAGTTACCCAAACAGAATGAAATTGGCATATGAAAGAGTTATTTGTACCCCATGTTTATTGCACCTTAATTCACAATAGCTAAGATGTGGAATCAAACCAGATACCCATCAACAAATGACAAGATAACAAAATGGGGTATGATACATTGTAGCCAAATTTTCAACTGTAAAACATAAAGAAAAGATTGTAAGTATGCATTTTGAGAAATGCCAGGTTACTTTCAAAGGATCTCCATTTAGACTCACAGCTGTCTATTCAACAGAAGCCTTATAGGCTAGGGAAAAACAGTGAGATATAGTCCAAGTCATAAGAGATAAAAACTGTCAACTCAGAATACTGTACCTTGCAAAGCTCTCATTTATGAAAGAAGGTGAACTAAAGACCTTTTATAACACACAAAAGTTGAAAGAATTTGTCACTACCTGTCCAGCCTTACAAAAGAGGCTTAAGTATGCACAACATACATAAACACAGAAGATAGACATCATTATGAAAGAATGTTAAGGCAGAAAATTCTCTAGAAAAGTACAAAAGAAATCCAAAATAAACCAAAGGAATATTTATGGAAAAATCACAGGGCCAAGTTGTTACTTATCAACAGTCACCTTGAGAGTAAATGGCTTTAACTTTCCAGCTAAAAGGTACAGACTGACCAAGTGGATGAAAAAACAATACCCATCTATTTGATACCTGTCAGAAACACATCTCACCAATAAAGATACACACAGACTGAAAGTGAAAGGATGGAAAAAGATATTAATCCTAATGGAAAGCAAAAAAAGACAGGTAAAGCCATCCTAATATCAGACAAATAGACTTTAACACAAAACCTGCTAAAATAGACAAAGAAGGACACTATGTAATGATTAAGGGATCAATTCAACAGTAAGATGTGAAAATAATAAAGGTATATGCACCCGATTACAGGGCACTTGGCCATTTAAAATAAATATTAAT